TTAGGTATAAGGTTTGGGTTGCTGGCCTTTTGAATAAATCAGACTATTCAGGCGTGGAGTGTTCTTAGCATAGTTCAAAATAAATATGTGTTGAGAAGGTGATATGATCCTTGAGCTTTACAAGAAAAATAAAGCATTTTAAAACAGTCTAGAGGGTACTGGGAGTCCTGTTGTGGTACTAATAGCGGGCTGTGAGGAAAGAAGGCTGTCAGTGGAGTGAGGAATTGTTCTGTAGCTGTCAGCTCCTCCTCTCCACTTGTTGCTTGCTTTGCTGTTTGCAGGTAACTCCCCGAGCTCCCCTGTCCGTGAAGGCAGGACATTGTCACAATTGTCACAGCAGCACCCTGGGCTGCCCGGGAAATTGTTTATCGGGGAGCATCGGGTTGCTTAGCAACCACCTTCCTCTCCTTCATTTGTGGTCTTTGCCTTTAATAGGACCAGCATTCTTTATTCATTTAACTGCAGGTTACTAATTTGCTTTCCAGTTAATAGATCTGAAGTGAAAACAAGACAGAGAAACAATTCTTTTAGAACTGTTTTGTGTGACATCTTCGCGTGCCACTGTGAGGTGATGAGAAGCTTTAGAAGCTGTTGGGTTTGAAGACCCGGGGGTCAAAGGCAGCTGAAGTGAGTGCTGGTGGTGACCCATCCCATGGAAGTTCACTCGTGATGGAGCTTTTCTGTGTGTTTATTATCATCTTTGGGTCTCCCTAGAGGTTGGAGAGATGGCATCTGGTGAAAGTGATGCGCTAAATAACTGGCTCAGAGAAGGTGACGCTGAAATTCTGTATGGTGGAAAATATGGCTTGACTCCTACCCTCCCGCACTAATAATTTGGCCCTTCATTTTATGAAACCATCAGGTGCCATTCCTGATCCCTTGGAAATATTAAATGACCTTGTGTCCCTGTAGAGGTGTCTTTCGCTGTGAAGTAGGTGGCCTTTCTTCTGTTACTGACTTATTTCTGCTTTGACTGTTGGTGATTTTGCTGCCGTGCAGGTGGTCGAGCTCTTCAGCCTAATGCTGAATTCCTTGTTGGGGTGCATCTGGGGGGCTTCAGGAAGAGTGTGAGCAGCAGGTGGAGGGAGGTCATCCTGCCCCTCTGCTCTGCCCTGGGGAGGGCACTGGGTCCAGTTCTGGGCTCCCCAGTTCCAGAAGGACAGGGAACTGCTGGAGAGGGTCCATCAGGGGGCTACAGAGATGATGAGGGGCCCGGAGCATCTTCCTTATGAGGAGAGGCTGAGAGACTTGGGTCTTTTTAGTCTGGAGAAGAGAAGACTGAGGGGGGATCTGACCAATGCCTATAAATACTTAAAGGGAGGGTGTTTGTCTTTTTTCAGTGGTGCCCAGGGACAGGACAAGAGGTATCGGGCACAAACTTGAATGTAAGAAGTTCCATCTAAACATGAGGAGGAACTTCTTTCCTGTGAGGGTGGCAGAGCCCTGCAAGAGGCTGCCCAGAGAGGTGGTGGAGTGTCCTTCTCTGGAGACATTCAAACCCCACCTGGACACATTTCTGTGGGACCTGCTGTGGGTGGACCTGCTTTGGCAGGGGGTTGGGCTAGATGATCTCCAGAGGTCCCTTCCAAGCCCATATCATTCTGTGATTCTGTTGGTTCCTGATTTCACAGGACCTTGCAGGAAACCAGCAGCAGCGTTTGGGGAAAGCTGGAGAGGCTTTATGCTCTCTGACCGGCCTCCATAAAGAGGTCAGGTTGAGCTGGGTCCCTGGCAGTGGCCAAACAGCGGGTCCCTGAGAAGCCTCTGGGGAGCCTTTGGGAAGGGTTTGCACCTCTCAGTGCAGTTGCTTTAGTTTTGTTGGCACCTTTAGGCCGGCTGGTCTTGAAAATGTCAGCTGCACTTGGGATACTGATACTTTTTGTTTCACTTCTGACTTTAAAAATAAAAATTGAAATTTGGAATGTGGTGCTGTGGGGGAAAGCTGGAGAGGCTTTATGCTCTCTGACCGGCCTCCATAAAGAGGTCAGGTTGAGCTGGGTCCCTGGCAGTGGCCAAACAGCACGTCCCTGAGAAGCCTCTGGGGAGCCTTTGGGAAGGGTTTGAGCCTCTCAGTGCAGTTGCTTTAGGCCGGCTGGTCTTGAAAATGTCAACTGCACTTGGGATACTGATACTTTTTGTTTCACTTCTGACTTTAAAAATAAAAATTGAAATTTGGAACGTGGTGCTGTGGCGAATTTGACTCTTTTTTTTTCTTTTTTTTTTTCCAAAGCAAAGTACCTTAGAAAATATCAAGTTGCTCAGTTTGGGGTTTCACCTTGCTCCGGTTGCTTTATCCTCCAACTTATCCCTCAAGCAGGGAAAACAGTTCTTAAGAGAGCAATCCAAGTATCTACAGAGTCATGCTCAAAGGTGAATAATCAAGTTATGAAATAAATTTGTATTTGCTCTGTGTTTTTTGTGCGGCTTGTAGCAGTGTTGTCTCGGTGTAGGTGCAGTCAGGAGGCCTGGCAGCACGTAAGAATTCTTCATCATTCTTACAGTTAGCGAGTTTCATTTACAATGGCTTTTGTAAATCGATTGTTGAAAACCCCATCTGAGACACTGCAGGGTAATTTTTGAAGGTGAGTCATAATTGTTAGCGTTTTTGTGTTTGCAGGCTTTTCCTTTAGACACCATTGATTTTGGAGAATTATTAATTACTAAGATTTATGAGCAGTGTTGGAAAAGGGGGGGGGGTATAACTGGATTCCCTGACTGAACGATGAGCAGCATATTGAGATTAATGGGTGGAGAATAACACGGTGTGTACTTTTTATGCCCAAATCCCAGAGGCAGTGAGGAGGAGGTCACTGGCACTGCCTTGGCTGTGGAGTTAGCAGGGATCTGTACGATATTCAGTGAAATAACAGCTGTCTGGGAGCTGCAGCCTGAGGCTTTCTAGGGAACGAGGAGCTGAATGACCGGTGCAGTATTTGTCCTAACTAAATATTTCAGGATATTCTGTCTTTAGCTTAATTTATTATCAGAAGTGCCCGAGTTCAAAGTTATTTTAACTTGGAAATGCGAACTTCCTCACCTTTTGAAATTTAACTAGAATGCTTGAATAGGAAACCAGCTCTCTTTTAAAACGAAGTTAAATGAAATTCTGTGATTTCATGCTGGTGGCAGCTGTTTCCAGTCCTTGCACGGTAAATATACATCCGCTCTCCAAGCTCGTCTCTGGAATGGTTTTGAAAATTTAAAGTGTTGAATCCCACAGGTGTTTCTGGTCTGGAAAACTAAGTATTTTTGTTTATCTGGGTTCAAAAAAATTATCTGTATCTTAAGTAGTTCTGGAAATCTGGAAAATAGTACAGGGTTGCAATGGAAAGATTCTTAACTCTGCACCATGAAGTGCTTTCAGATGTTTAGCTGTGTATGGAGAGTGTTTTAGTAATTCTTAAGGAGCCGTGGCTGGCTGTGGCATGCGTTATCTAGGGTATTCTGCTCGGAAGGATTTTGTTTGAAAATTCATAGTCTCCCTTCAGAATGTCCATTTTGAGGCACGGGTATGAACAACCTGCAGCAGTTGCCTTCTTGCTGGAGCTCTTATCGCCCTGGAAATCTCAGGGTGTTCTGTCTCTCCGTGTTCCCACGTAAAGCACAGACCTGATGATGCTCTTGCCAACGTTGTTTATGAGGCACGGGTATGAACAACCTGCAGCAGTCGCTGCAGCTCTTATCGCCCTGGAAATCTCAGGGTGTTCTGTCTCTCCGTGTTCCCACGTAAAGCACAGACCTGATGATGCTCTTACCAACGTTGTTTACTCTTTAGAGAGTTTTTAACCTTTTTTTTTTCATATTTTTTCCTTCAAATGAGTAAAACCTAGTTCAGCTGTACCTACCAACAAATGCATAAGACGCGCCACTAACCTATTCAGTTTTATTTCCCTGATTGGTGAATTATTTTAGGATAAAATTACCCTTCCTTCTGTCTTTGTGACCAGTCGGCGGCTCACACGAGCGGTATGTGTATGAGTAGCTCTCTGACTAAAATTAACTGCAGAAACTTTCATAGATTAACTCTTGTCACTTGAGAAATAGCAGGGTGACCTAGGCTGAAACCGGCCGGTCGTGTCTTTGCCTTGCGGTGTCAATCATCAAATGAAACCCAATTATTACGTAGTGGGCGCTTCCGCTTTCAGTCTGCTCACTTGTACTTCTGCCAGCCGTGTGGGAGAGCTCTCCTCTTTGGTAGGCTCGTTTTGGGGTGTTTCTGAAGATAGGAATAGTATCGTGTGTGATTTATTTTTTTTTCAGTCCGGGAGGAGGGATTGCGCTCAGGCGCTGGGATGCTCCGTGGCTGTGAGGCTACTGTAAAACAAATCAAAGATCTGAGGGTTGGTAGCAAAATGCTACCGAATTCATGTCCCCTGCAGCAGTGTTTCTGTCGTTTACACCTGATTGTTGGCAAAAAAATTAAGACTTGGAGAGTCTTGGAGACTAATAAAATCCTAAGGAAGGAGATTCCCAGGAATCTCTCTCTTATTAACCATCTCCCTGATGAGTAAAGGCTGAGAGAGCTGGGACTCTTTAGCCTGGAGAAGAGAAGGCTGAGGGGAGACCTGATTAATGCTTATAATTATATAAAGGGTGATTTGAGGGAGGATGGAGCCAGACTATTTTCAGTGGTTCTCAGGGACAGGACGAGGGGCAAAGGGCACAAGCTGGAACATGGGAAGTTCTGTTCAAATATGAGGAAGAACTTCTTTCTGGTGAGGGTGGCAGAGCCCTGGAACAGGCTGCCCAGGGAGGGTGTGGAGTCCCCTTTTCTGGAGATCTCCAGGCCCCGCCTGGATGCCATCCTGAATGATGTGCTCTGGGCAACCCTGCTTTGGCAGGGGAGTTGGACTAGATGATCTCTAGAAGATCTGTTCCGGAGTTGGACTAGATGGTCTCTAGAAGGTCCATTCCAACTATTCTGTGATTCTGTGATTTTCAGAAGTGATACACAACGCTGACTTTCTAAAAGGTTAATTGTTGTGTCTTTTTTTTCTTCCAGGTCCTGTTCAAAATCAGCTGATGCATTCATCGGATGGCCAGGGATACAGCCCCTCAGTTCCAGGATCGTATCCGCATCAGATGCTGGCGAAGGTTCCTCCACATCAGGCTTCTGGACAGTATAACTATAGCAGCTCTCAGAATGTTTCTCAATTAAACAATTATCAAGGACCTGGGCAGACTCTCAATAGACCACCAGTGGCACCTTTCTCTGGGTCACCAGTACAGCAAACAGGTCCTGGTCCACAAGTGCTGCCGCCTCCGTTGCCAAACTCAGCTGCTATATCATCTGCTGGTGGCTTTCCTCCTGGAGCAAGCCCACCAGTGCTCTCAAACTGGCAGTATGGCCAGACCCCCGTGAGCCAGCCCGGTGGGTCTCAAACAAGCCATTTGGCTCAGGGGACGGGGACAGGGTCAGCTCAGCCACCCTCGTCTTTATCAGGAAATACAAATCCTCCAGGAAGTTATCAATATGCTGCTTCTCCGGGAGGTCCTCCGCTGCAGAACAGCTACATGAAGCCAGGTAACCAGAACTTTTGGATATTTTGCCAATGCTTGTTTCTCAGCCTCCTTTTTTTTAATAAAAAATAGAATATGGAATTGACTCTTCAGCAGCATTTTGCTTGTGGAACGAGATTGTCAAAGCAGATACTTTGAGAAAATGCCCGTCACGAATCCTGGGGTGGTTTTTTGAGTTAGAAATGGAAGTTCCATGCGCAGGTCAGGCAACCTCTGAACGGTGTCTGGTCCTTTTGGGGAGCTGTGTGTGGGTAATGCTGTTTCTGGGACCATCACCGTTCCCTGGGGTGGCTGGTGGAGCCAATGCTTCAGTCCAGCGGGGACTTCACGGTTGAAAATTGTAGTCCTGTTTAGTGAATGGGGGTTTTTCCCACTTAAAACTCGTTAACTTTTCTGGTAATCACTAAATACAAGTAGTTCTCGGAACGGCATCAGTCAGGTTGAGGCAAAAAAACTTGAGCACAGCCTGGAAAGAAAACTGAAATATTCTGTGCCACTGAAATAGAGAACAGTTGAACAGAAAGTTTCCTTCCTCCAAACTTGTAATTTTCACCACCTAATAATAATTGTCGGTCTTCAAAATGTATTCTGAAAGCACGAGACTCCTGTTCCTGCTGCTTGTGTGCTGGTATTTACAGTGGGGAAAAGCTTTTCTAAGGTTAAATAGCTCTATTATGCAACTTGTGGGTATTGCAGAAACAAAGTTAATACTCGAGTTTCTCCTTGCCAAACTGCTGCTTGTTGTTATAGAGGTTTTTCTAAATGAGCATGCAAATAGAAATATTTTAAATGTTAAAGCAAATATTTTTTTTTCTCGTGAAATGCTTTTAGCCTCATTAGGGATTTTTCTTCATGTTAGTTTTTTGTTATATGCCTGACTAATTTTGTTACGATGTTCAAACTCCCTTAAGCTCATAGAATTTATGAAACACTTTCTGGCAGTTTATTGGAATAAGCAATTAGTGCTTTGGAGTTAGTGAGGAAAATGCTGTGAAATTTTGGAAAGTGGCATGTGAAATGAGAGAGAGTGTCTGGAATAAGAGAATTTTTATATCCAGTCAATGGGGCATCCTCCTGAGCAACTTCCCTGGTAGTTTTTTGTAGAACAGCGATCGCTTTTAAAATAAATTTAGCTCATTTGATGATCACACTCATTCCGAGAAGAAAGGTCTGCCAGCTCCCTGCCTGCACGGCCAGCTTTGGCCAGTCTCTCCGATCATCATCTCTTCCAAGTTCTGATAGTGGTGCCTGCAGAGAGTGATTATTAATTAGCTTTGTGGTATCAGACACTAAGTGAACACACAGATAACTTCACTGGATGTGATTTTTGGTTTTTTCTTTCCTTTTTTGCTTTCTCTCCTCCCTTAAATGTGACCACACTGTGCAGGCTCATGAAGCTGCCTTCTTTATGTGGTAGGGAATTGGTCATTATACTTTCATATATGGCTTCCAGGCTTCTCTTCTGTTGAGACCTGGGCAGTTTTATCTTATGGAAGGCTAACTTTTATATTAAATACATTGGTGTCTTCCTAGAGTTAATGGGCAGTTATACTGACCTCTGGAATAATAGGGAACCACGGGGTGGAAGTGCTCTTAGGATCTGGCATTATTTGAAGGGAAGAAAAGCAACTGCGTTTCTAAATGTCTTGGCTTGAGAAAGTCCTAGAATTTCAAAATAGAAGCAATTAAAAAAACTTTCCTGTGACTTTTAACAGGGAGGGTTTAACATTGCAGGGCAAAACACCTTGCACTGGCACAGCCAGTTTATTCAAATTGCACATTGTTGATGCTTTTCCAAGTGAAATCTCTTCACCAAGTCATTTGAGTAGCTGTAGAATCTGTACGTTGCTGGTTTGTGTCGGATTATTGAAGTGGAAGATGAGCATCCTGCCAGAAGGAATCTGTGTAGACTCCTACTAGTTCATTATTCTGTCTGATATGGGGCTGTACTATATAAAGGCCAGGCTTAGTAATTGAAGTTGGGATGCTTTCTGTAGCTCTTGTACCAACAAAAGGAATAAAAAGCTGAAAGAGATCATGGATAACAGCTACAGGAACCCAGTACGAGAAGAGCATACGAGAAACAGTCTGAAGTTGTGACACCATCTCTTCTACACACGTTAGGATTTATGTATCTCATGGTGTTTATCATTTGAATGAGAGGAATATTTAGTGTTCGATCTGTGTGATTTTGTAACAACACTTCTGTGACTTTTTCAACTGGGTTAAATTCCTCCTAAAAATTAATCTCTTGACAGGCTCTGCACCTCCACCAGTGACTCAGCCTTTAACTCCACTCCACCCCCCTTCGAGGCCACCGTTAGGACCCCCACCAGTTGGTGGCCCGCCTTTAATTAGGCCGTCAACACTGGCAGCAGGAGCACCTAATACACAGTCTCTGCTAAATTCAGCTACAAATCGTGAAGGTAAGAAATAATTTGCTCTTTTTGTTGAATTTGAACGCTACAATTCGCTCTAATGTGCAACCTTTAAAGTCAAGTACACTTGTTCTATTAGACACTCAAATAGTAAAATCAATACTAATACAGCGTTCATTTATCTGAAAGGAGAAGGTGAGGACCTGGAAGAAAGTAAAGTATTTCTTGTTGCCAGTTGCTACTAAAACAAAAATAATTAACACTTCAAGATAGATTTTTGAAGTGCTATTTAACACGGCCACGTCTCCCATAGTTGCCATCTCTTTTTATTTTAAGTTTCTAACATGATATTGAAATTCTGATTTCTCTGCGTCCTTGACTGTGGTGGAGGAGATAATTTGTCTGTGCCTTCCTGTATTGTTTTTACTCTGCAGGGAAAGCTAAATTGTGAACCCTGCAATTCCTTGCCTTATTCTTACCTTCCACGTGAAATCTTGGATTTGCTCCTTTTCTGGCGGTTGTTAGTAGAGGCTGTTAAACGTGAGCTGTTGAAGACAGATACCTGCCTTTCTCGGTCTCCTGTGGGCCCTGCACAAATGTGCCATTGTTTTAAGAACTCATTGGGGCTCTGTATCAAACCACCTGCAGTTGTATCACCTTTGGTGCCCGTGCTGGATGGGGCCGTGCAGTAGCTGCCAGTTTTAATTTTCCAAACGTAGTTTGTTCTGTCAAAACTGTCAGTTCCTCGCACGTTCAGATTGATAGTTTCTGGTATGTGGTAGCTGGGTGAGTACAAGAATAGCATATTCAGATTTAGCTTCGTTTTGAACATATGAAATGCATTAAAAACTGGCTTCGCTTAGAAAGTCTTTTCTTCATAATGAAGGGAAACATTTCCAGGTCCTGGGAGAGAGAGAAATGTTTAGTCTGTGGAGTAGGTTGACTGGTGCGTACTAGCAAGACTCAGGGTATGATGTGAGTTCCTTTCATCGGGTCATCTTTGAAGGTATTAATGATAATAAAAAGTAAATTGAGCACCTGCTTCCCCTTAGCAATAGATAATTGGTTTCGTATATTTAGACCTAGCTTACAAAACGCTGTCCTTTGGGAGCACCCTCTCAATTTCAAGGTTTTTCTTATCTCGGCTGGAATTTGTATCTTGACTGGTATGTGACTGTAGCAGAACTGTTGGTGTTTGGGGAACAGCACTGGACTAAGCGTGTAAATTAAGGGAATTTGATGTTTCTGTGAAGTATCAGTGGAAAAAGGTCTCGAAGGAACTCAGTACCTAAATTCCAAGGTTCTTTGAAAACTGCAGATACTTCCTCTGCTGAGGAGGAAGTGTCCCCTGACATTTTACTGCATATGAGCTTGGAAGTTATGGCGAATCTGTAATAATAAAAAGTAAATTGAGCACCTGCTTCCCCTTAGCAATAGATAATTGGTTTCGTATATTTAGACCTAGCTTACAAAACGCTGTCCTTTGGGAGCACCCTCTCAATTTCAAGGTTTTTCTTATCTCGGCTGGAATTTGTATCTTGACTGGTATGTGACTGTAGCAGAACTGTTGGTGTTTTGGGGAACAGCACTGGACTAAGCATGTAAATTAAGGGAATTGGATGTTTCTGTGAAGTATCAGTGGAAAAAGGTCTCGAAGGAACTCAGTACCTAAATTCCAAGGTTCTTTGAAAACTGCAGATACTTCCTCTGCTGAGGAGGAAGTGTCCCCTGACATTTTACTGCATATGAGCTTGGAAGTTATGGCGAATCTGTAGTAATCTTAAAAGATCATTCAACCTGAAGTTGAAAAAAGATCATAGGGTTTTATGAATGTCCTTTGTCCCTGTGTGGGAAAGAGGCCATGACGTATATTTAATTCAGTTTCCTCCTGGGACAGAAACAAAGTAGATCCAAACTGTGCTGATATTAATATTCATCCAGCAAGAAAGATTTCTTTGCAGTTGCCTCATTACAGCTTCTTAGTAACTTGTGAAAATTTGTCCTGGGACTGTGTTTCTCAATAGGTGATCCCAGCTCTGCTGCCAGCGACGGGTCTGCGGTGCAGAACAGCTACGATGCCATAGAAGGTGGTGGCCTCATGGGTAAGGCTTTGGGATTAAAAATGTTTACTATTACCTAACTGGTTTTTAAGAGTCGGGGAAAGATACAAGTTTAGGCATTTATGTGTAGTAATCTTAAAAGATCATTCAACCTGAAGTTGAAAAAAGATCATAGGGTTTTATGAATGTCCTTTGTCCCTGTGTGGGAAAGAGGCCATGACGTATATTTAATTCAGTTTCAAACAAAGTAGATCCAACCTATGCTAATCTTAATATTCATCCAGCAAGAAAGATTTCTTTGCAGTTGCCTCATTACAGCTTCTTAGTAACTTGTGAAAATTTGTCCTGGGACTGTGTTTCTCAATAGGTGATCCCAGCTCTGCTGCCAGCGACGGGTCTGCGGTGCAGAACAGCTACGATGCCATAGAAGGTGGTGGCCTCATGGGTAAGGCTTTGGGATTAAAAATGTTTACTATTACCTAACTGGTTTTTAAGAGTCGGGGAAAGATACAAGTTTAGGCATTTATGTACAAGTGTATATGCTTGGTTCCATGCCTGTCTTGAAACTAAATATGAAATTTGAAGTCTTGACAAGTATGGTAAAGTCCTCCTGGGACAGAAACAAAGTAGATCCAAACTGTGCTGATATTAATATTCATCCAGCAAGAAAGATTTCTTTGCAGTTGCCTCATTACAGCTTCTTAGTAACTTGTGAAAATTTGTCCTGGGACTGTGTTTCTCAATAGGTGATCCCAGCTCTGCTGCCAGCGACGGGTCTGCGGTGCAGAACAGCTACGATGCCATAGAAGGTGGTGGCCTCATGGGTAAGGCTTTGGGATTAAAAATGTTTACTATTACCTAACTGCTTTTTAAGAGTTGGGGAAAGATAGAAGTTTAGGTATTTATATACAAGTGTATATGCTTGGTTCCATGCCTGTCTTGAAACTAAATATGAAATTTGAAGTCTTGACAAGTATGGTAAAGGAGTTAAGAGCACTTGGCAAAATTGAGAGTGGTTGTCACTTGTTTACACTTAGAAACTAAACACCACCAAAAAGCCCTCCTGCTGTATTAATGCACTGAGCAAGCTACAGTTCCTCAGCAGTTCATTTTAACTCTTTGTCTGTCTGCCCCTAGCAACTCCACATCCTTCTCCTGCACCCCCAAATCTCAAGATGAACAGAAGTGTTGGATATTCTTACCCTGCCTTACCTCCGGGCTACCAAAACACTTCTCCACCCGGAGCACCAGGAATACAAGCATCTGCTTTGCAGTATCCAGATGGATCAAAGCATTTCCACCAGGTAAAGATTGTCTGGTTTTTATGTCTTTTGCTACCCGTGGCGGCGTGTGGTTTAAAGAGAAGTGAGGGTTGGGGGTGTGTTGTGCATCTTGGGGTGCTGCCCCCGTGCTTCACTGTTTGTTCAAGGTGATAGGCGTAGCCTGGAATTAATGCTTTTGCTGGCGCCTTGGCACCAGTTTGGAAAAGCTGTGGGCCAGCTCTTTTGCAGTGTTCTAGCCTTGAATCTGGTCCAAATATTTCTCTTAAAACTCTCAGCTGCTTTTGGCATGTTTTTCTTCCCTTGGGTTGCTGTTGTGAGCTGAAGTAGCTGAACTTTCAAAGTGAACTGACCACATTTTCGCCACCAAACCTTTGTATTTCAAGAGTTTTGGAGCAAATATATGCTCATTTTTACCTCTTATTATCTTACCTGCCTAAGTCCAGTTTATGTAACAAGTAGTATTTCTGAATATATCATTGTAATACAGTGGCAGTTAATACACAAGCAAACAAATAAACATTGGAAGGGAAATATGTTTGCTTTTTAAATGAACTGTGGGTTTCATCCAAATAATTGGTGTTAATTTCTGAAATTTTATTTGACTCTAGCCTGCCCTGGGCACTAATCACTTAACTGCATCGATGGCTGGCCTGAATCTACAGCAAGAAGGATTAAAACCTGTGAATCTTCTTCAAGAAAGAAATATTCTTCCTACGACCCTCTTGAAGCCTCCTGTCCCAAACTTGCATGAAGAGATCCAGAAGCTCAACTGCAATCCTGAGTAAGTTCATAAATCTGTTATAATTCATCAAAATAAGCAGAAGTATACATTCCTACTTGTAAACATAACTCTTCACAAAATATTTCCTTAATTTTGTGGGTAGAAAACGTTGAAAACAGGTTTCACAGTGTTAGGATAAAGGCGGTAAGTGGTTTAAACTTTGAAGTGAGGAAAATCATCTGTGTAGAAAGTATGAGGAAAAGCACGTTGCTTGCAAAGCAGCTACAGACAGGTACAATTCCAAAACTTTACAATATGGCTGGCAATGAGTATGATTAAGAAGAGATCTAAAATAGGAGTTAACTCACCTGAGTGAGGTCTGCCAAAAAGACTGTGAATGGAGAAACATGAGTGACCTCGGTATTGAAATAACCGTTTAAAACAATGGTGTAAATGGAATGTGCCCAACGAGAGGTGGCTGGTTGGTTATTTGGGTCACCTCTCTGAGGAGACCAACCAAACGGGGCATGACCTTTGCAGGTCTTTTTTTGGTAGGTAAAGGAAATAACAGCATCTCTGTGAAGTTGCTCGTACGAACAAGCTGGGCTGGATTTACAGAAATACTGTGCACATCTGCACTCTGTGGTCTCCACCGAGTTCTGAAAGTCCCTGAAATGACTATAGGGTTGTTTACAGTTCTTTTTGTGTAGTTTTAAGACAACTTTTTAAACTTTGCTGGTTCAGATTTGTATATAAGGCCACGTCAAAATGATATTCCAAAATAACACTCGGTATATATATAGATTTGGTGCAGCTTTGAACATTGTTAGGCTTAACTTTGACTCGAGTGACTAAAACGATGCTCAGTTCTGTGTAAAGATCACATGTATAAAATAAGAATTCAAAATATGTACTGTGGGTCAAGCTCAGACTAAATCAGAACAATTTGACAGAGTTGGAGAAGATCCTGTATTTGGAAAAGGAAATTCACCATCACCAGCTCTAGAAAAATATAAAGGATGCTCTGTGCTACTGAAATCATCGTTTTATTATCTGAAAGCCTCTGAAAATAACCCTTTGTCCTCCATGTAGGTTGTTCCGCTGTACCCTGACTAACATTCCTCAAACTCAGGCCTTATTGAATAAAGCCAAACTTCCTTTGGGGCTCCTGCTTCATCCTTTCAAAGACTTATCGGTATGACAAATGTTCAAAACTTTAAATGCTGAAATATCAACTGTGTCTTTACTGGAGTCCAGAGCTGGACAATGAATTATAAAAGAAGGGCAAGTGCGTTGGCTAATCTTGGCCCAGAAGAATTACCCTGATATCTTACTCTGTTCCATACAGATCATTGTAATTTTTCTGAAATTTTTCTCCCTGCCATTTTTAAACTTTCAAGCCTCAGTTAATAAAATAAAACCCTCCCAAACCTCAAAAAAACAGAAGCTTAGGGTCAGCACAGCACTTGGAGTGTGACAGAAGGCAACATTTTTAAATTCCATAATAGCTTAGCTAGCTTATCTTGTCACATATCAGTTGTAGTTATTGATTTCCTATACCAAACCTAGTACTAATTCTTAACTTAATTAAGAATTAGCAAAGTTAAAGGGGTTTGGATGTCCTCAGCTAGCCAGGAGATTTTGTGAATTTAGCAGTGCTTCTTTTAATGTGGTTTGGTTTTTTTTTCTGATTTTTGATCTGTATTGGATACAGGACTTGGTCTTAAACCATCAATGTAAAATTCAAAGCTGTAGAGGCTTGAAAGGGAAACCTTTGTAGTCAAATAAGTTAGAGCTCAGTTCCAACCAGACGTTTTCTTAAGGAATTGTCAGGGGGTGCTGGGAGGGTGCAGAAATACCTTTTGCTTCACCAAGTGTGCTTTGGCTAGGAAGCACGGTGTGCATGATGGCGTTATTGTAGCTGAAGAGCTGGGGTCTGGTGATGCTTTAAAACAGGAAGCTTTTCTTTTCCAGCAATTGCCTGTGGTCACTTCAAGTACCATCGTGAGATGCCGTTCCTGCCGGACCTACATTAACCCTTTTGTCAGCTTTCTAGACCAAAGGAGATGGAAATGCAATTTGTGCTACAGAGTGAACGATGGTAGGTTTGAAATGTGCTTATTCCTGTAAACTGCTAAGGTTTACTTTGCCCAGCTTCACCTTGGAGACTGGAATATTGGCCCTATCAGTACTAGGGATGGTCATGGGTCATACTGGGGGTGGGAGACACAAGAAGTGGTTCCTATGGGCAAAGCCTGTGGGGTTGGTAATGAAGCACAGTGGGTCTGAGCCTGGTGACAAAGCAGCTGCCCTACCTAGTGTAGTTCTCCAAGAAGTGCTGCCCAACAGGCACAAAAGAGCTGATAAATTTGTTTTTAAATGCACTTCGGCTACTACTAGTGTAAAGTAATAACATATAAACTTATCTGCATAGTTCCTGAAGAATTCATGTATAATCCTGTGACAAGAGTTTATGGAGAACCTCATAAAAGACCTGAAGTCCAGAATGCTACTATTGAGTTTATGGCTCCATCTGAATACATGGTAAGGCTTTATTTTTTACCCTCAGTTATTCTCTCCCTTTGTTTCATTTCCAGAGGGAAGTCAGAAAAAGCTTTGTTGTAAAGGCTGCTTTCCAGTTTAGCACAACAGTTGCTGCCTCAAGGAGCATGTCTGAGAAGAACTTCAGATGGTTCTCCATTTCTAAACATTTATGATGTCAGAGTGCTTCTGTATTTAGAATATGTCGGTGTTTGTAGGTCTTCTGGAAGAAAACTGCAATTTTAGAATTGCCCAGTAAGAGACAAATGCGTTTAGAATTTTTAGCGATCAGCTGATTTTAGAATTGCCCAGTAAGAGACAAATGCATTTAGAATTTTTATTCTATCATCTCTTTTAAGAGTTTAAACTTTCAGTGGAATGAATAAACCAAATCTAATAAATGTAATTTTGAGAATTAAAGGTATTTTTTTCTTTGCTTAGCTACGTCCACCTCAGCCACCCGTGTACCTCTTCGTGTTTGATGTCTCTCATAACGCAATCGAGACGGGATACTTGAACACAGTCTGCCAGACCCTGTTAGACAATCTTGACTTGTAAGTACCTTTTCCTTAGAATCTCCTATTTTCATTACTCTTATTAAACTTACGATAGACGTCAACACACCAGTACTGCCTGTCAAGAAGAGAAATTTCCTGGTGTTGGCCACCAATGGCCAATGTTGTATTTATATAGAGTGAAAAGCTGTAGTCTTCTGTTCCATCGCAGCTGCACCAGTATAAAAGGTAATTTGGAGGCTTGTTTCTCAGTTTGGCTCTTTTCTATCTGCTTCACCAATCCCCAAAAGAAATAAACATCATGTTTATGATGTCTTTTGAGCTATGTCTTTTAAAAGCTGAAATTTAGAAAAGCATTTGCTGAAATTAATGCATACATCTAATAAAACTTTTCATAAAATACATGCTGTTTGAACTTATATAAATGCTGCTTGGTATTTCGCATCTTGTTTCTTCCTTTTCTTTCAGTTCTTATTGCCCTCTTAAAAAATTTCTTGAGTGTCTGCTGTGTGACTCTACTATAAGCTCCTTTTTTGTTAATTTTTTTTCTCCAAAATGACTTAGTCAAGCTGTTGCAGTTTTGCTGTTAAGCTAACGACTTGGTAACAACCTTGGACAGGTGCAGTGGATGCTTAAAAAAAAAAAAAGAAAGAAAACCCGCAGAAATGAAATTTCATCTTGCTGAACACCATATGTCTCCTTTTTAGGCTTCCTGGGAACACTAGAACAAAAATAGGCTTCATAACATTTGACAGAACAATCCATTTCTACAGTCTTCAGGAAGGTCTCTCTCAGCCTCAGATGCTTATAGTTTCAGATATTGAAGGTGTGTAAAAATCAGTCATTAGTATCTACTAATGAGTGCTGGGTTTGGCAGCTTTTAAAAAAAAAAAAAAATATATATATATACACATGGTGTGAGTTTCTAGATCATGAATCTCTGGTATCTACTAATGAGTGCTGGGTTTGGCAGCCTATTAAAAAAAATATATATACATGGTGTGAGTTTCTAGATCATTAATCTCTCTAGAAGCAGCACGTGTCTGTGTTCATTTGTGAAGCCCCTGTGTCTGAGCAATGCTGTGGCTGTTCATGACTTAAAACGTGAAAACAACATTCTTAACTTCTCATTTAATTTGTACAATTGTTTATATTTCTCTTAAGATCCCAAATATTGATGCTTGGTAAATATATATAAATATTGCATGGTGACTGATGCTTACTGCTTGTTCTTCTGCCTTCAGTTTCAAGGCACCTCTTGCTCTGTGTTATGTAGGGCAAGGCAGAATGAACACTAGAAAATCCTCATTATACATTTTTACTTAATAGTCTTGATTATCCTTCAATCAGAAAAAAAAAGTCCACATAATTATGTTTAAATGGGTTTACACACTGATACTGTAGGATTTTTTTCAATCAGTGTAATGGTTGGCAAATACAATTGGGGGAAGCTTGATGTGTTTTTAAAAAATAACTTAAACACTTCTTTTTTTTCCCCTCCAGATGTATTTATACCAATGCCAGAAAACCTACTAGTAAATTTAAATGAAAATAAAGAGGTAAGAACTATCTTAAATAACTAGTGACACTCTCACAGTTTGAGATGCTTGATGATTTCTGCTCTTTAACACCTACAGTTCACATGCCCAGTTTGAGGTGGAAAAAAGAGGTCTTTAAATTTATTAATGTGACTGTAAACATTCACCAACCTGAAATGAGACAACACTTGACTTTTATTAGGGCTTTTTCTTTGCTATTTTAATATTAGAAATGTTAATACTTGTTTGTGTACATTCAGCAATCAGCTCTATAAAGAAGAAAGCTCTTAATATTTCTGTTTTCTCCATTGCAGCTAATTCAGGACCTGTTGAGGACCTTGCCACAGATGTTTACCAAGTCCCTGGAAACTCAGAGTGCCCTGGGGCCTGCGTTACAGGCTGCCTTTAAACTCATGTCCCCCACTGGAGGGAGAATCTCTGTCTTCCAGACACAGCTTCCCTCTGTGGGAATGGGAGCGCTGAAGTCCCGGGAAGAGCCAAACCAAAGAGCAACTGCAAAGGTTAGAAAAGGAAAAAAAAGGTTGAGAGACCCGAGTGTCCTGTTCTGTGGGTGTAGGTTGCTCTGGAATTGCCTGTTCTGGGTTAGTTTTGAGGTTCTCTTGTTGAGTTGAAGTAGTAGAAACAACAACAACAAAAAAACCAACCAAAAAAACCCCAATCCAACCAACAAAAACCAGATTAATGATCTGATTTTGTTTTTTTTTTTATTATATCACTGTAATCAGTACCAGATTAATGATCTGATTTTGTTTTTTTTATGATATCACTGTAATCAGCGATGGAGAATCAATAATTAGTGTCCCCAAAATCAGGCTATAAATGTGTTAATCTGTTTGAGTTTCCTTTTTAATTTGTAATACTCCATTGCATTAACAGGACATACATCTGACACCATCGACTGATTTTTACAAGAAGTTGGCCTTGGACTGCTCAGGGCAACAAGTTGCAGTGGATTTATTTCTTCTTAGTGGACAATATTCTGACTTGGCTTCTCTAGGTAAGTCATTTTTAGCTGGTTTGGGGCTTGTAACTCCTGGCAACAGGCAAATAGGTAGGATCCACATTAACGTTTAGTATAGGAAATTGATTTGAATATATCTAGTATATCAAGATGCAAATTCATCCTTGATGAGCAGTGACAGTGGATAGAATATAATCTTTCAGTCTTTCCTGATTTAACCCAGTTGGTTAAATAGTCTTCCTTAGTGAGTGTAAACTTCTTTAGAGTAAGCTTTGTTACCATTTTAATTACTTTTTCTTCATTTAACCAAACTTCCAAGGGACAAAGTACCTGTAATTTCAGGCCAATGAACATCTGAAACTGCAGGTATACCTGAACATAGAGTTGTGTTATACCTGTGTCTCTATATGTCGGTCTATAACTGTGTAACAGAGTTATTTGCATGTGTAAAGAGTTTAGTAATTAAAGGGAATATTGCATCCAGCTGCTGTATTTAAAGACCACAGTCTGCAGCCTGCCAACCTGTGCTGGTTCTGTTTCAGGTTGTATATCGAGGTATTCTGCGGGGAGTGTCTATTACTACCAGTCTTACCATCATAAACACAACCCTGTCCAGGTGGAGAAATTGCAAAAGGAACTGAAACGATATTTAACTAGAAAGATTGGCTTTGAGGCTGTCATGAGGATAAGATGCACCAAAGGTTTGAACACAGTTTTTTGGATTTTTAGGGAGGGCGGAGGGGAAACGAGTGTTTGCTGTTACGGGAATGTTTTGTTTGGTATTTTGGCTGTTGTGTAACTGCTTGAATGGTTAAAAGAACAGAAAAGTAAGATTCAGTACCAGGCATGAGACTATTTACTAAAGACTGTATTTGCAGAGTCTTTGCTGGCATCCAAGTTCCATTTTACAGTGGTTAAAACTGGAAGTGTTGTTGGATTGCTATTTCAACAAGGGACTGGTTTTATAGCCTAGAGACTTCCTCCTATTCTGCATTGATTTGATTTCCAAATTCCTGCTTTACGCCAGGCTTTGTGGATTCTATGGATTAGTTGTCTGTTTGGGATATATACTTTTCCTTAAGATCCTTTATTTCATTGAGAAGGCTCTTAACGTTCTGATACAGAGCCATCTGACAGTGATGGCAGGTGTGTAAATTCTCTCTGTACTTCAGGACTATAAAAACCAAACCTGATGGAATACAACGCTTATCTTGTAGGTCTTTCCATTCACACTTTCCATGGGAACTTCTTCGTACGCTCTACAGACTTGCTGTCCTTGCCCAACGTGAACCCGGACGCGGGATACGCCGTGCAGATGTCAGTAGAGGAGAGTCTCACCGATATGCAAGTCGTTTCTTTTCAGTCTGCTCTCCTCTACACATCCAGCAAAGGTAAGAGACACGGGTGGTGGCAGCTGCCTTAAGGACAGTACTCACATGAGTCTTTTTGTGTCCATTTACCAGCTGCAATTCACTTGCAGTAACTTAAACTATTTAATCTCATATTGAAAACCCAGCTCTGATGCATTACTGTATGTTACTGATATTGTGGCTTCCTCCAGACCAAGAAGTTTCTTGGGCAACTTAAGTTCTGGTCTGAACCAAGAACTAACTGTTTTTAAAAGCTACTGGAAATGGCCTGTTTCACCACATGTATGATAAATTAGATTAAATCTTAGTGGTGGTGGGTTTTTTTTTTTTGCTATTGAGTGAACAGTGGCATTTTTTGGGTTGTTTTGTAAAACAAAAGAAACGGCCAACAGGTTAGGGAGGTCATCCTGCCCCTCTGCTCTGCCCTGGGGAGGCCCCATCTGGAGCACTGGGACCAGTTCTGGGCTCCCCAGTTCCAGAAGGACAGGGAACTGCTGGAGAGGGGACAGCAAAGGGCTACAAAGATGATGAGGGGCCTGGAGCATCTCTCTTATGAGGAGAGGCTGAGGGACTTGGGTCTTTTTAATCTGGAGAAGAGAAGGCTGAGGGGGCATCTGATCAACACCTATAAATACTTAAAGGGTCTGTGTCAGGAGGATGGGGCCAGTCTTTTTTCAGTGGTGCCCAGGGACAGGACAAGAGGAAATGCACTCAGACTTGAACATAAGAAGTTCCGTCTCAACATGAGGAGGATCTTCGTTGTTTTGAGGGTGGCAGAGCCCTGGAAGAGACTGCCCAGAGAGGTGGTGGAGTCTCCATCTCTGGAGACATTCAGACCCCACCTGGACATGTTCCTGTGGGACCTGCTCTGGCAGTGGTTGGACTAGAGGACCTCCAGAGGTCCTTTCCAACCCCGTATCATTCTGTGATTCTGTGAGACTAAAGTTTTCTTTTCTTACAGGTGAAAGACGGATTCGTGTCCACACAATGTGCTTACCTGTTGTAACAACACTGAGCGATGTCTACCTCGGGGCAGATGTACAAGCCATCACTGGGCTGTTGGCCAACATGGGTAAGCGTGATAGGAGCTTATGTATGGATGATATTCCTAAAGCTCTGAGCAGTAATCCTCTGGGAAGTAACATTAGAAGAAAAGATTCCCTCTTTGAAGAGAGCTTTCGAAGTTGCAAACCTAAGAGTTGGAGTTTCTTAATGCTTAAAATATCAGTACAGTTTTATGTAGTCCCCTGGGCTTAGTCTTAGTCTGGTGCATCGTCACGGGCCCCTGGCTCTCCTTCTGAATCACTTCTCTTGACTTCCTGTATGGTGCAGTAGAAGCTTATTAAGATGCGTGGAGGAAATGAGAAAAGTGAACATACGCGACTGTATTCTTACCAAGGGAGGAAAAGCCTCTTATTTGAGCTTTTTACTCTATTTTTAGCTGTGGACCGATCGGTTTCTGCTACCTTGAGTGATGCTCGGGATGCCTTGGTCAACGCAGTGATAGATTCGTTATCCGCTTACCGTTCATCGGTCCTGAGCATTCAGCAGCCTGGGCTCATGGCCCCCCACTCGCTGCGGCTCTTCCCCCTTTACGTACTGGCGCTCCTAAAGCAGGTAAGAGTTAAAATGAAGCCACACAGGAGGATGATTTGTCTGTTTGCCACGTCAGCCTGAAGGAAAAGGACATTTCTTTGACGTACAAAATAGCATCTGCCTTCTCTTTTGGTATTCTTTTAGGACTCAAAATTGAGAAGTTGCTTGATTCAGATCGTTTAATAAAACCAGCCTTCCTGCAATTTGCCATTAGAGCACTGAGATATTTTGCAGATTTGAGAACTTTTTTTTTGGTTTTTTTTTTGTTTTTTTTGGTTTTTTTTTTGTTGTTTGTTTGGGGTTTTTTTGTTTTGGTTTTTTTTGTTTTTGTGGTTGGACTCGATGATCTCAGAGGTCCCTTCCAACCACTAAGATTCTGTGATTCTGTGAACTTATTCTTGCACAGGTGAAGTTCTCTCAAGATAACAGCTCCATTTCTCTGCACCCCAGAATTTGATGACTTGAAAGGTCAATGTAGAACAAAGCCTATTTAATTGTTTCTCAGGCCAGGGTAGATAACACATAGTTTTACAGGTGGTGAATATGTGTTTTTTTCATCTTGGAGCCTGGTATGTTATGAAAAACGGAGGGATTTGGAGAATTTTGTGGGGCAAATGTATCAGGGTAATAACGGACAGGCCACCTTCTCTTGCCTGCTGAGGAGAGCAGCAGGGGATAGAGAAGATGTTTATGGGGTGTTATGAAAAACGGAGGGATTTGGAGAATTCTGTGGGGCAAATGTATCAGGGTAATAACACCTTCTCTTGCCTGCTGAGGAGAGCAGTAGGGGATAGAGAAGATGTTTATGGGCTATCACTGAGGAGAATGATCTAGTTGAGAAGAGGGAGCTCAGAAGTGTAGACAAAATCAAAAGCGTAAGTGGTATAAGCAAGGGAATAAGAAAATTAAAGACCCTGACTAGTGTAGAGAATGTGGCAGGGCACTGGTGGAATGCTTTTTCAAGAATCTTAATTTCTGTGCATTTCTGGAACTGTAGATCCACACAGCAGTTCGGTGTGGATTGAGAGAGAGAACTGGCTGCCAAAGAGGTAGTTGGCTGCCTGTTCTTGCAAAAGGTTTAAAGCATTTCACAATATGCTCAATGTAAGTATTTTTTGATTGGATTTCCCTGAACTCATACCAGAAATCATTTTAAGTGTTGAACAAGCTGCCTTTCTGTTCTAGAGGGAATTTTCTGATTCATACCTCTTGATAAGGCATTAAACAGCGTGTTGCTACTGCCACGTTTATATTGACTTTTGAGCTTTTTCATGTAGAAGACTCTCTAATTGTTTGACCCAGTCAAGTGGGAGAAGTGAGCCTTGTTTCACTTATAGCTGGGGCTTCTTTGTCCCAACAAGCCAGGACTGTATCTTTATTGTAAATCCAGAATTGCCTAGGATTCTGTACATTGAAGCTAATTGTAAACTGCTGCAATATTTAGTCTTTTAAATCCTATCAAGTAGCACTGTTGAGGTGTATGTTAGAAGAGGTGTATTTCAGGATGCTTTTGTCTCAGCTGTAGTGCTCACTAGAAAGGATTGATGGTACAAGGTCACGGTAAGTTCTGAACCCAGAAATGGGAATAAGGAGAATTGTATGATTTGTATGAGAAGTAAAATAGCAGTGGTGAAGTACCATGTTTTGAGAAAATACTTATGGCTCAACTCTTAAGATTTCAACGTAAGTTAGAAATAAGCAATAGATGGTGTGTTACATTCAGCTTCTCTCCCTTTGCTTTCACGGTCAAATGAAATGCCTGTTTGTTTGCAGAAAGCATTTCAAACTGGGACAACCGCGCGTTTAGATGAACGCATTTTTACCATGTGTCAAGTGAAAAACCAGCCCCTGGTGTACCTCATGCTGATGACACATCCCAGCCTGTACCGCGTCGATAACCTCACGGATGAGGTGAGTATTTGCGTTGCTACGTGGCCTGTTTGTCCGGTCCCAAAGGTTGGTGTGATGTGAAAATAAATCTGTGTTAAAAACCTCACAGGTTTTCCACAGAAAAGCTACGTAGCTAAAATTTACTGATTTGTATTTTCCCATTTGTTGCATTTATGTGTTTGTTATTTGGGATTGGATTGATGAATTCTGGAGAGGAGCTGTGCTCTGGCTATGGAGGGATAGGGAAGACTTTTTCTAACTTATTTCACTTTTTGCTGTGTGTCTTGCACTATAAATCACATGTACGTAAAGACAGTGTAACATATGCTTTAACTTTTTGTCCCTCTGTAGCTTCCTTTAGTTTAAAATGTCAACGTAGTTCTGTGAACAGTGAGAGAATGTTTATGTAAGAGCCTGAATAATTTTAGAAATCACATCTTTTGTACAGAACAGATCTGATACTCCAATTCTAGAACTCATTAACTAAGATGAAGTTGATGGAGTACACCCTCTCTAAATAAAATGCTGAGATTTATTAGTAAATTATGCACTTGAAGTGTGACTTGAACTAAACTGAGAAAAAGGGTCCAGCTTTACTATTTGGTGTGATACATCCTGTTCTCATTTGACCACCTGTTCTTGTGCCTGTTTCAACACATCAAGATGTGAACCACTGGTTTTCTTTTTGCTTTTTCCTTTAGGGGGCTCTGAACATAAATGACAGAACTATACCTCAGCCACCCATTCTCCAGCTGTCAGTGGAGAAGTTGAGCAGGGATGGTGCTTACCTTATGGATGCTGGCTCTGTAAGTTCTGGGGTGATGGTCAATTAAATTTAAAAAAATATCCAAATTTACTTGACGCTTTCTTTCTGAGAACTCAAAAATGTGTAGGAGAGTGCTGAGGGGTGGTTTTGCATTGGATTCATGTTGGGTATCTTTCAGGTAATGTTTCTGTGGATCGGGAAGAACTGTGGGCAGAACTTCATCAGCCAAGTCCTTGGAGTTCCAAATTATGGCTCAATACCACAGAATATGGTATGTATCAGTTTGCTTTGCTGTACACCAGGTGCACGGTGCTGCCAGAATATTATTCTCCTGAAAACTAAAATACCACTATTCAAATAATAGTTATTATTCACTATAAATCCAGAATCAGGACAAGAAATCATTTAGTTTCTTCAGGCTAAAACTTTCTAGATCTTCCCATGAAAGCAGAGTAAGGAGAGGCTGGCAATGATTAAGGAGACTGGACTAAAACTGTACATCACAAAACATACTTGTCTGGGTTTCTCTTAAACCTTATGAGGATTGACTTGGGCTATTTTAAGTGTTCCTTTTACTGTTTTAATCTGAAAATAATAATATGTATGTATTAATGATACCCTTTGCCTCTTAGACACATCTCCCAGAACTTGAAACTGCGGAATCCATCAGAACAATATCTTTCATTTCTTGGCTGAGAGAACAGAGACCTTTCTTTCCTATACTATATATAGTAAAGTAAGTGGTTTTTACCTCTTTCTGCTTCTTTAGGCACCTCTTAACAATATGTATTTGGATAATTTGGATATCATATACCTAGCTTTCTTAATGGAAGTTTTAGCAATGGTGCATGCTGTGCCTAAGATTTGGCAATGGATATGACTCGTTATGAGTTGTCTCTAATTAGAACTTCTACAGGCTAAAAAAGAACAAACATCATAGAGCAGTCTTTGGTTGATGTCAGATAAGTGAAGTAAATCCTGATAAGTGCACTTGTTAGGATTAATCACAAAGGTATTTGAGAACCTCTTTCCATATGTTTTAAGCTCTTGTTATATCTCACCTCTTGACCTGTAACTTTATGAATGCATTGCACTGTAGATCTTACCAAATGTTTGTTTCACTTATATTTTCATTTTTAAGGGATGACAGTCCATTGAAATCAAGTTTTCTGCAAAACATGATTGAAGACAGAACAGAATCAGCCTTATCATACTATGAATTCCTCCTTCATATACAGCAGCAAGTGAATAAATGAAACACTAGCCTTTGGCTCACCTCTTTAAGGAAAGATTTTGCAGTAAAGAACGATTGTGCTTGTAATGTCTTCATTAAATCTGTGGCCTGAGGCAGTTGATGAGAAGTTCTCACTGTGATTTCAACGAACTAAAGCAAATAAAGGACCACATCTGAGAATCAAATGTGCAACTACGTAATATTGTACCTTAAAAAAAAAAAAATCAAACTGGTGGAACTGGTTGAGCACCTTTGATTTGCTGCAAATCATGTTTTTACTGTAAGTAGTTGCAGCATGAAGTACATTTACAAAGGCAATACTGAAAAGGTGAAATACATTTTGTAAAATAAAGAGTTCTTTGTTGTTCAAAATGTATATTTCTGTAACTCTCTGCATATTTTTTTTTTTTTTTTTTTTTGCTGCTAGATATAAAAACCTCACAAATACTGATCATGATTTGCAGGGAAATTCTTTCTGAGTGCATCCAGTGATTACAGACAGAGCATCTCAGTGTTCGACTTAATGCTTAAAGTAGCAATGAAACAACTGTTCATTGTGAAACGAACAAAAATACTTAACGAAGTGTAGAATCCAGTGCTTTGGATTGGATTATGGCTAATAGGACTAAAGGTAAGCTTAACCCGGACACAGAGGGCTGAATTTGTTAAAGCTTTTAATAAGTCAGTATTCTAATTAAAAAACTAGTGGGGAGGAGCAGGCCCTACGTGAGACACATTTGAAAAAGTCAGTGGCTGAGTCAGCAGCAAAAGCAGCCTGAGGTAGAGCTTGATTTTTTCTTCTTAATTTCAGTCTGTGAATGGGGAGGGAGGGGAAGGGCGAGGAAGGTTCTCTCCTGGGTTTTTAGGTTTACGTCTAGTCGGCTTTTAGCTCTTGTTTACATTAACTGAAAGTTAAGCCCCAAAACTCTGGTGTGATTCTGAAGTGAGTTTGTACGACAGCACCTCAAACCTCCTGTTTTGAGACAACGTTGAATATTCTGATGTTGAAATTGGAAAATAAGTTATTTTTCTAAAGACAAAAATATTATTGTGCGTTTGAAGATTTGTTTCGGGTTTGAGTCATGCTTGAAGTTTGCAAGAAATTGGGTTTTTTTTACTGCAGCTGTGTAATGAGCCTAGGTCCAAAGCCAGTGTGCACCAAATAAGAGCTTTAAATGTACTCTCAGATCCCTGCCAGAGCTGCAGATGGAAGCTGATATTGGACTTGAATTGAAAATTGATATACAAAAATATTTCTATAAAAGCATATTGAGAATTGTTCCATTTTGGAGATGAAGCTATCATTGAGCTACCAATGTAAAGAGTATTTAAGTTACTGTATCCTTATGCCCCTGGAAGTGTTTCATATGGAAAAATCTTGGTTTACCTTGGTGGGTTTTTTTTGTTTAACAGTGCTAAACTTAAAGGTCTTGCAAAACTTACTTCCTGGGGCAAGTAACTTGAACAGGTGAAACACTTACAAGTGATCAAACGTACTGTGCTGAGGCTGGTGAACTCTCACTCTGTGATACAAAGGACACGGTGGGGGAGTCGTGTCCTGCCACTTCAGGCTGGAGCTGCAGGTGCTCGTTCAGGAGTTGCCTTATTTCAGGGGAGGAGCTTCTTTTGGGAAATCCTTCTTGTCGCTTGAGCGCAAGGAGCCGATGTTCAGAACAAAGTCAAAAATAGCATGAAAAGATTATTGTAGAACCAATTTAAGCTTCCCTGTCTGCTGCCTCCGTAGCAAACAGGAGTATATTTACTTGAACAGCGTTTCAGAGAATTGCACAGTTTCTAGTCATAATGAAGAGGGGTTTTTTTTAAGTTTTGACAGTATGATTTTTTATTTTTTTTTCCTGGAAAGGAGTCTCTTCATTTAAATCATAAATGGAAGCTATGCACCTGCATAGGTTATGACTTAAAACTTGTGTTTTACATATATTATCACTCAGATGTTGAAAATCATCCTTGCATCTAACAGCCCACCCAAAGTCTGTTTCTTACTATGACTCTATTTTGCTACTATATCCCTTATTTTATTTTTCTTTTTAAAAACGTAAATGTTGGAGATGGCTTCGTTGCTTTATGTGCACCAGACTAATGGCTCAAGGTGTCGGTCTTTGTGGCAATTAACAGCTTGGAATTAGAGTCCTTAAGTTTTAGAGAGCAAAACATTTTAAACAAGAATCAGATGAAACCCTCTCGGGGTTCTCTTCACTTTGGAAGAATTTCTGTATTGACCTTGGTTAGTTTATCCCTGGCAGTGGGAAGGGCCTGCTTGGTCCCCCTGGTATTGCTGTAAGGGCAGGACAGGGCAGAGGGACACACAAAATACCTACAATGTGCCATTTTTACCTACAATTGAAAAATGAGGACACTGAAGATGAACTGCAAAAATAGGCAAGAGTGGCTCTGGTATTTAGATCTCAGCACGACAACTCTACCACTGCAAATGTACTCTATTTTTCTAGTTGAAGACTTTTTTCTTTTTTTTTAAGAAAAAAAAATCTATTTCTGTATTTGACACATTAGTGTTCAGCCAACATTGTTACCATCCATTTTACTTTGCTTTCATTATCGTTTTTAATTTAATATATTTGAGTTGAAGTCCACATAGACTATGTCGCAATAACTAGAATGATTCACTTTTATTTAGAATTAATTTCTTAGCAGAATTTAATCAAAGATGCAGAATGGCTGTTAAATAAGGGACCATTAAATGTGATTTTAAGGTTCTGTTTACTATTATGGATGTATTCCTTATAGTAAATTTAATTTTGTAAAGTAGTGTATGATATTGTAATATTAAATCTTTGTTTTCTGAACTCAAAACATTTGATCTTCAGTATGAAGTTATAAATCTTCCCCCTTCTGAATTTGAGACAGGATTTACTTGTCCTCCTTTTTACAGTTTGTAATTTTCACTGTTTTATTCCTGTAAAAAGTCATTTGTAACACATGCAAATGCTTATTTTATCTGTGCTAATTTATCAGATTTGGCTACTCAATAAAATTAATTGAAAGAACTCATGCAAGTCCATCAGTCCTTTCTTATAAATAAAAATAGAATAGTGCATTTGATCAGTCGAGATAAATACATTGTACCAGCAAATGATAAATTCTACTTTTTAGCTAAAATCTAGTGTTTAGGTGATAGAAACTGAGAGGGAATTTGAGAAAATTAGTTACAGCTAACTCAAAAGTGTTTTTTTTTTTTGTTTTTTTTTTTTGCTGTTGCTGGCTTTTTTTGTCCCTTCAGAACATCTCTGTCAGTCAGCATTGTAATTAAGTCCTACTTTGGGGTTTGTTCTCCCAGTAAGCCCACACTGGGCTGGAAGTTGATCTTAAGAGACAACTGACATTGATGGTTGGAATTTAGCCTTCAGCAGCGTTCCCAAGATGGTGATCAATTTTATTGTAGGCAACGCTGTATCTTCATTTAACATCCTATTCTTTCAACACCCTTTTTTTTTTTTTTTTTTTTTTGGTAAAAGTCACTCCATCTTTCGCTTGCCAGGTTTGATTTTTTATGAGCTGTTGTCACTGCTGCTTCTGGTCCATCGTACGTAGGTTAACGCATGAGCTTGGTACTTTGACTTCTGCATTTAAGTTTTTGAATATGGAATTATATCACTCTCTAAATCACTTAAGAAATATTAATATTAAGAAATACTGGACTTGTCAGCATGCAGTTTTTCCCCAGTCCAGTTAACAACGTGTCCTCCTGCTGCTGCTGAATTTCATGGCTCTGGCTGCAGCTCGGGGTTGGACCAGGCACCATTCCCAGGTCTCTGGAATTCCTGGGATCCTGAAGCCGAGTCCCTCCTTCCACCTGAAGTGCCTGAGGTGGTCTGTGAGTTACGGAGAGCACGAGTCCTTTGGTGTCGAGGATGTTCAAGGTAATTAGTTTGAAGTATTGCTGGAAAATATCCACATTCCTGGGATCCTGAAGCCGAGTCCCTCCTTCCACCTGAAGTGCCTGAGGTGGTCTGTGAGTTACGGAGAGCACGAGTCCTTTGGTGTCGAGGATGTTCAAGGTAATTAGTTTGAAGTATTGCTGGAAAATATCCACGTCTTCATTTCGCTGTGGCTTTGGGGTGCTTTACCCGTGTGAACGGCCAGCCAAGGGAACAATACAGCGGCCCAGTTTTTACTGCTTTTTGTCACACGAGCAGAGGTGCCGTGGGCTTTTTATCGTACAGAAATATGAAGATTATGTCAACTGTTCTCTTGCTAGAAAGGGCCGGAGATGCTGTTTTATAACATTAATTGTGGAATCCTTGGGAATTCCTCGTTCCCTTGTTATTTTTTCCCTCAATATGCATACTCCATCCCTTTTTCTAGTTAGGTAAATACTACGTTGGTTAAAAACACGACCCTTCACTTATTCTAGTACTTCAACCTCCTACACGGCACGCTGCTATTGCCTCTGGGGATGATAAGGGAAAAGCTCCCATCCTGTTACCACCTTTTATATTTCTATTTCTCCTCACCGAACGCAAGGCGGATTTGCCGGGTTTACTAAAACCGGAATTTTAAGCAAAAAGCAGCGCTTTTCGCTTTCCCCCTCAGCCCGGCCGGAGCCCTCCCTCAGCCCCCCCCCCCCGCCGCCTCAGCCCTTCCCGCCCCGTCACCCCTCACGCCGTGACGTCACCTCCGAGGCGGGAGCGGCCATCTTTACTATGGGCACGTACCGCCACAGGGGGCGGCGCTGTAGGAGCGCTCCCCGCGCCTCTCCCCGCTCTTCTGCCCTTACACGACATGGCGGCGCCGGCTTCAGCGGCGGGCGGTGCCGGCGCCTGCGCGCTGAGGCGGGGCGGCCCCTTTGTGCGGCGCTGAGGCAGCGCCGCGGCCTGTTCTACCGGGGATGGAGGACGGCGGCGGGGCGGCAGCGGCGCCCCCCGAGACCCCCGTCGGTCTCTCGGCCTCCCAGCGGCGGGCCGAGCTGCGGCGGAGGAAGCTGCTGATGAACTCGGAGGAACGGATCAACCGCATCATGGGCTTCCACCGGCCCGCGGCGGGCAAGGGTGAGCCCTGTGGCGGCGGCGGCGTGAGGGCTCGGGACCGCGGGGCTGGAGGTAACGAACGTCCGGCTGCGGCCTCCTCCCGCCCTGACCGCGCCCCGCAGCCTCCCTCCCCCTGGCACCGCCGCGGCTGGACCCCGGCGGCCGCTCTCGGCCCCTCAGAGAGATCTTTCCTTGCGGGGATGCTTCAGGTGAAGCACGACCTTCTGCGGTCCCCGGGAGAGCCGCGGATAAAATATATATAGAGAGAGATATAGATATATGTCGTCAGAAAGGTGCCCAGGCCGGGTTATGGGCCTGCTGAGGGTCTTACAGAGCCAGCAGACGAGCTGTCATTTCACTTCACGTAGTTTTCCTTGAAGAAACGATGAGCCTTCCCCGCGGTTTCATTCAGTAACAGCTCGCTTTCAAAGCTGTGTTTTTATTTAAAAGTTTTCTCGCGTTTGGGTAAGAATCGGTTATTGGGGGGGTTGGGGTCGGTAGGCAGAATTTTCTTGCAGATTCATGGGTAGGTCATTTCTCTTTCTGGAAGTACATGGAGGAGGCCGACTGTCCTGTTTGTTTTTATTTAAAAGTTTTCTCGCGTTTGGATAAGAATCGGTTATTGGGGGGGTTGGGGTCGGTAGGCAGAATTTTCTTGCAGATTCATGGGTAGGTCATTTCTCTTTCTGGAAGTACATGGAGGAGGCCGACTGTCCTGTTGGGAGAGAGAGCTCTGACTTCAGTTGTCAGGGGTGTCCATGGGCCACGAACCTGCTTGAGCACTGAGAAATACTCCGAGGTCTTGGTACCCCACTCTGGTGGGACCAGACCTGTTCCTTCAGGTGTTCCAGAAAGGTTTCAGAGGTTCCTTCACCTCTTTTTGCTGTAAGATGAGGTCTTCAGGTTTAATACAGGGTAAATTAACACCCCTTTGCCAAACAAAGCCGAAGTACGTTTCTTCTGTTGCCTGTTTGTCAGTGTTTAATCCTCCTCCCGTGTGATTCACTTTCTTTGAATCTTTGGGTTGTTTTTTTAACGTTGTTCCATGGATTTGGAACAACCTCTTTCCTCTTGTGCACGCAGTGGTGTTGCTTAAGGAAGTCTGATGTTTTCATTTCTCTGTTGCTGGCTGACAGCTCCCACTTCCAGCCTTCATCGTGCAGCTCTCCCGTGTCTGTCAGATGGCTTTGTGATTAATAATAAGCACATTTTGGTGAGGGGTCTGGAGCACAAATTTTGTGAGGAGAGGCTGAGGGAGCTGGGGGTGTTCAGCCTGGAGAAGAGGAGGCTGAGGGGAGACCTTCTCGCTCTCTCCAACTCCCTGAAAGGAGGGTGTAGCCAGGGGGGGTCGGTCTCTGCTCCCAAGGAACAGGCCATAGGACAAGAGGAAATGGCCTCAAGTTGCACCAGGGGAGGTTCAGATTGGAGATTAGAAATAATTTTGACACAGAAAGGGTTATCAGGCCTTGGAATGGGCTGCCCAGGGAAGGGGTTGAGGCACCATCCCTGGAGGGATTTAAAAGATGGGTTGACATAGTGCTTAGAGACAAGGTTTAGTGTTTTTTGTATCAGAGTTAGGTTGATGGGTGGACTAGATGATCTTAAAGGTCCCTTCCAACCCAGACAATTCTATGATTCTGTTCTATGATTTATTAATCATAAATCTATATTTTCACTTTGGAAGCAGAGACATCAACCCAACAACCCCCCCTAAAGTGTTGTCCCACGTACCCAGTGTGCATAACTCTGTATTTTTGTTTCTCTTCTTCAGATGAGGAAAGTCACACGGAATCAAAGCTTCAGCACGAACCAGAGAAATCCAACTCCCTTTCCATTCCTTCGGTCTCCAAGCGAATCGTGCTGGGTGACTCTGTCTGTGCTGTGGGAGGTGTGGGTGACCAGGCGGGCAGCGTGGCAGACCTCAAAGGGGACAAGGACTTGTTCAGTAAAGCTCCTGAGCTCATCAGTGAGGTTCAAAGTGAGCTCCGTCACCGTAACAGAGGGGAACTGCCACCCGAGGCTGCCCCACGGCCATCCAGACGCGGATTAGAGCAGTTCTTACCCAGATTTGATGAAGCTCTGAAGCTGAGGAACCAGCTGATGAGTGAGAAGCCGAGCCAAGAGAACGGCAATGCCGGGGAGGAGTTCGACTCTTTCCGCATTTTCAGATTGGTGGGGTGTGCTCTGCTCGCCATCGCCGTCAGGGCTTTTGTCTGCAAGTACTTGGTGAGTTGAGGGGAACAATCAAACCTATTCCGTTTTACTAGTTAATTGCACACTTACTGTGAAATACCCTTTGCCTAGGGCTGAAGTCTTACCAGTAGTGACTGAGTTGGGAATTTCAGACACTTTTTTATATTTCCAACTGTATAAAACCTAAAAAAAATTAACTAAATTCTTTGAGATGAATCTGTGTTACCAAACACAGCCACTGTACAGCAGCTGAGAGCAGCACAGGTTTGATCCCTAGTGTTTGAGGAGCAGAAGCACCAAAATAGTTGTTGTAGCTTAAGTCCCCTGTGAGTTTATTCCCATCTTTGTGAGCATAAGTCAACTGCTCTCCTAGTTCGGAGCCTACAAAGGAATAGTAGAGTAAAAATAACAATAGTTGTTCCAAGATAAGCAGATCCTACTCATTTATCAGTAGCTCTTCTGTATTCCAGTTGTCTCCCAGTCCATGGTACAGCTGGTGGTGCAGCCTGCCACCTCCTGGATCACTGGGCTCATTTTTACACATTGCTGTAAAAATGACTTGCTTCTGCGATTTCAGGCTTTTAGGCTCAAAGAAAATAAGGCAGAACCTTAATTTTGACATTTAACTTGTCTACTTAGGTCTGTAGTATTCAAAAATGCTATTGTCCACAAATTATTTTTTTACCTACCTAATTTTCTTTTTTGTCTACTTAGGTCTGTAGTATTCAAAAATACTGTTGCTATTGTCCATAAATTGTTTTTTTGCCTATCTAATTTTTTTTAATGACTTGGAAAGCATTACATTTCTGTGTTTTCTTAGCTATTGCTTCTGACCAAGTTAATTTTCATATATTCTTTTCTCTTCCTTCAGTCAATATTTGCTCCGTTTCTTACTCTACAACTTGCTTACATGGGACTGTCCAAGTACTTTCCAAAGGTAAAATACTTTCTTTTTTTTCCTGAATTAGATCAACTTTAAATGTTTTAAATTTAAACTCGTGCTGAGATTGTATTGTTTTAGGACCAATGCACATGAAGTGTTCTTCCCTTGCTTTAAACTCTAGAATTGAGAGTAACCAAGTGCTGAGAGTTTATGTTGGTTTTTAATCTTCCCAAATAAGTCAAAGTATTTTTTTAAAGTTGCTGTGAAAATGTGGACTAACTGTAGCCTGATTAAAAGCATCCAGCTGGGCAAGCCAGGTAGTTCTTTCATGTCTTTAGGAAACTTTTGCTTTTCTTTTAGACCATGCTCTTCTGTGGTTACTGTTTGCTCTGTCAAAAGCTGTTTTGCACGTGATACCTGGATGAAATTTGGGAGGGTGTTCATTAAAAAAATGTGGTTTTAAGGTTTTTGGGTTTTTAAGGGCTCTGTGTTCCATTGCTTGTATCAGTTTGAATGGCAACTTGAAATGAAACATTTATTTGTGTGTGAAACTTGCTGCTTATTCACAAGATTTGCTGTATCACTCGCTTTATGTATTTACACCAGTTAATTGTGCTGAAGTGTTTGTTTGGTTGATGATTTTGTCAGGCCTACAGAGCAAAGCGGGACTGAATGGTGCTCCATCCACAGCTGAAAGGGAACATTTGCATTTTAAAAGGAATAGTAGATTACCTGTAGAAAGTCAGAATAAATCAGCAGTTCTTTTGTAGATCAGTATATCATTGAAAAATATATACTTATTAAATTTCATAGTAGTCATTCTAAGCTGACGTGTCACAACACAAAACAGTAGAATTAGCCTTTGACTTCCACAAGCTTATCTAGATCTTTTTGATCTTGTTTCTGCTGTCTTTAAAATCAGCTCTTCAGTTTCAGAATTTAGAGTGGTTTCTTTCCACAACTTGCTTTTACTGCACTTTTACCCAGATGAGGTCAGTCAGCTCGTTATCCTTCATCCTAGAAAGATTCTTGAAAGCTTCATTTAGATTGGATTAAATTAAGATATCCAGCAAGTATCATCAAATTACCCAAATTTTCAGCCACTGTCACCTTTTTCTGCCTGTCACACTTTATGCCCTTGGGATTCCTCATTTTGGAGTCCTAGAATCGTCTGGGTTGGAAGGGACCTTTCAGATCATCGAGTCCAACCATCAACCCAACACTGACCAAAACCACCACTGACCCATGTCCCTCAGCATCACATTTGCCTGGCTTTTAAATCCCTCCAGGGATGGTCATTCCACCACTTCCCTGAGCAGCTTCTTCCAATGCTTGATAACCCTTTCAGTGTAAAAATTTTTCCTAATATCCATCCTCTACCTCCCCTGGCACAACTTGAGGTGGTTTCCTCTTGTCCTAAAAGAGGACAGAAGAACAGCTTCCAAAAGGTTTCGGGGCATTTCTGAGTTCAGAGGATCAAACTGCCAAATGGAGTCATACTAAAATAGAAAGAAACAGTTGGGTTTCAATTCTAAATCATTTTTTTTTTCCCTCCTGTGTTAGAAAAGTGACACTATTTTTTTTGCCAAGTAGTGTGATGAGCTGAATCCTGTTCTGTGCCAGCAGGAGATGCCTGGCTCAGCTTCTTCCACCCAGATTGTCCTTGTCTGGGACTCTTCCCACTCAGGCAGAAGCTGCTGCATGGCCCTGCTTTCCAGCCTGCCTGGGGTGCCAGCAGAATTTAGGCAGAATATATATAACCTGTGATGAATTTTACCTGCTGCTGTTGCCCAGCTCCAGCAGGAGGAGGGTTGTGAACACCACAGTGTGTCTGGAAAGAATCGATCCAGACCCCCTGCTCCGACCCCTGAATTTGGCACGTGCTCCAGCTGCAACACTGGCACGACTTTGGTGACACCTAAAGCAGAATTGGGTTATAAGGGAAGAATTAACTTGTTGTTAATATTGTGGTTTCTTTTCTCCTAGTGTGAGAAGAAGGTGAAAACAACAGTACCGGCTTCTTCCACCCAGATTGTCCTTGTCTGGGACTCTTCCCACTCAGGCAGAAGCTGCTGCATGGCCCTGCTTTCCAGCCTGCCTGGGGTGCCAGCAGAATTTAGGCAGAATATATATAACCTGTGATGAATTTTACCTGCTGCTGTTGCCCAGCTCCAGCAGGAGGAGGGTTGTGAACACCACAGTGTGTCTGGAAAGAATCGATCCAGACCCCCTGCTCCGACCCCTGAATTTGGCACGTGCTCCAGCTGCAACACTGGCACGACTTTGGTGACACCTAAAGCAGAATTGGGTTATAAGGGAAGAATTAACTTGTTGTTAATATTGTGGTTTCTTTTCTCCTAGTGTGAGAAGAAGGTGAAAACAACAGTACTGACTGCTGCTCTCCTGCTGTCTGGGATCCCCGCCGAAGTGATCAGTCGCTCCATGGACACCTACGGCAAAATGGGAGATGTTTTCACAGACCTTTGTGTCTATTTCTTTACTTTTATCTTTTGCCATGAACTTGTTCTGTTTTTTGGGTCTGAAGTACCGTGATGGCTGTAGGACTCACCGCAGTAGTTACACTAAAGCTCCCTGGACTCTTTTCCTTTCACGTCTGACCGTGCAGAGGTTCAAACCTTCATTCAAATTCTTACCTGCTCGAATGCTTGAAAGGAGCCTTAAATCCAGTCGTTTTGGGGAAAGGAAGAGCAGGGTCCTGGTTGTCTTAGTTCCGTTTATTTAAATACTGTGTCTGCCTGTTACAAATGTGAAGAATAGGGTGCAGGTGTCAGTGGATGATTTGTTTCGTTTAATTAAGATGATGCCCTCAGCCTCCTTCATAAACATTCACAAAAGCTGCCTTTGTTCTTTCCAGTGAGAACAAAGAGAAGAGAATTCCTTTCAGCAGAACCATATATATATATATATCTCCTGTATGATTATAGCTAACAAGAACTGCTCATTTTGTGGTGTTCCCATTTTTTTTTTAAAGAAAGCTCTAAATAAAAGAAATCCCTGTTCCTCTTGTCGTTCAGATTCAGAATGTCCAACCAAGTAGCTGCTGCCGGAGAACGTTGGTGAAAATGCCACTTTGTTGTCCTCATCCTTGCCTTGCTAGACATTATTTGTTGTGATTGTGATTGATTTTGTTTGATGATTATAAAGCAAATCAGTGAAGCAAAACCCACAACAACAGCAAAAAAAAGCGCCTTGTTGCTTCCTGTCATTAATCCAAAAGTAGGAAGAAACAAAATGGTTAATCTCACCTGTTTTGTGAGTTTCCAGCAACCTAATCCTGGTGTAGCTCATACACCTGCTTTCATCCTGATGCCTCCTCCTTATTTTAGCAGTTCACCCCGAGGGGAAAAGTTGTAGATATCAGCAACCACCCTGCAGTATCGAGTGTTGGCTTCAGGAAATGTCAAACTTAGAAGAGAATTGGTTTTTTTTTCCCTAGCTCCTTGCAGGATTGCGTAAAACAAATTTTAATCTGACCTTAATTGCTGCAGATTGTTTATCACCAGACATTGGCACGTAAAGATCTTAATTGTGGTTGCGTTCTGTGCAGTCCCACCGCCCAACAGCAGGGTCTTTGAATGGGCAGAGCCATCAATATTAATATTTTTGCTGTATTTCTGCAGTTGCCCCAGTGAAATCCCAGTCCCTGTAACGACAGGGAGATAAAAATAGTGCTTTGACTGGACTCCTGCGGCGTCTTTGAATGGGCAGAGCCATCAATATTAATATTTTTGCTGTATTTCTGCCAAACTTAGAAGAGAATTGGTTTTTTTTTCCCTAGCTCCTTGCAGGATTGCGTAAAACAAATTTTAATCTGACCTTAATTGCTGCAGATTGTTTATCACCAGACATTGGCACGTAAAGATCTTAATTGTGGTTGCGTTCTGCTCCCACTGCCCAACAGCAGCGTCTTTGAATGGGCAGAGCCATCAATATTAATATTTTTGCTGTATTTCTGCAGTTGCCCCAGTGAAATCCCAGTCCCTGTAACGACAGGGAGATAAAAATAGTGCTTTGACTGGACTCCTGCGTGGAAGATCCAAGTATGAAGGGAGAATGTAATTTTGTGGGGTTTTTTTCTGTGGCTGTGCAGCCACACGGGTGAGGAGGAGAGAAATATTCAAACACAAACAAATCCTGTTGCTGGATAAAGTCGTCGTGAGCTTGTGGATTTTTGTTTTCAGTCCTATATAAATTTTTGTTTTCAATCTCACATGAATTTTGCACTGTAAGAGGGAAGGAAGTGTCATTCCAAACAACCACCTCGAAGGCTGATATCTGTGAAAGTTTCTATTGAAGCTAAGTTTGATATTATTTTCAACGTGCAGTTTTTTGTTTAGAATCTGAACTTTCAGCTAATCTACGCCAATGCCTTTTTTTTTTTTAATGTAGAGAAACATCTATTTATCTTTGTATTTGTCTGCAGAAGTGTTTGAGGAAGCAGAAGTGTTTCATTCTGCCTCTTCACAATTACCACTCCTGCTTTTTACTTAATCTTTGATGTAAAAGCTTCCTGCTATAATTTTGGTGCTGCATTTCTGACTCCTGAATTTATAGATATGTATATATTTTGTGGCATAAAACCAAGAAGCTTATGTTTTCGTTTATCAATTTTCCTTTTTTTTTTTCACTGATTGATTATTTTATAACGAGTACGATGTTACAGGTGTCCAGGGCTGGGCTGCTAAAAGATTCTGCCTTAGGTCTGTTCGCACAAATATTTATTCGGAAGCTTTAAATTTGTTTGCATTCGACGGGAATTTTGGCAAATTGAAGTCGCTGTCGTTTAAATGAAGGTTGAGAGATGTAAATAATGAGTTTGCCCAAAAGTGATGCTCGTTCTGGCTCTCTGTTTATATGCCCAAACGTGATACAAATAAATTGCAAACACAGTGTGTGGTAACTTCTGCAAAAAGCAATTAATTTTTAATCCTCAGCAGGAAGATTTGCATCCTCATCAGCTAATTGGGAAGGGCAGAGCCTGCCCACCTGCTGTCTGTTCCCTCAACCCCTTGCATGTGAGGAAAGATGAGGTGGGTTTTCTTCTTCAGCGGTGAAAAGAAATCGTGCTGCGAGACCAAACTTGGGACTTTTCAACCCAAAAATGCTCTTTTTTTGTGGGATGAGGTCGGGGCGGGATGGTGGAACTCCTCCGTGGCACCAGGAGGGGCTTCTTCACCCCGGTGCCAGGGGATTAATCCCTTTCAGCCCATTTTTAACTTCCTTCTGTTCATGTGTATAATTCTGTTGAATGTTTATTGCCAAACCCGGTGTTTTTCTATTAAAAATCTCTTTGTTACCCCCTCCCTTGGCGCTTTGTCCTGGCTCGGGACGGGGTGTGCGGTGGGCGCGTTGTACCGGGAATCCTGCCCGGGCAAGGCCGGTGCCGCGCCCTCCAGCCGCCAGGGGGCGCTGCCGCGGGCGGCCCGACAGGAAGTGACGGTGCTGGGGGGGGGTCTCTGCTTCCCGCCGCGCCTCTCGTCGTCCCGGGCGCTCAGGCGCGGAATGGCCGCCGCCGCCGTCGTTTAGTGCAGAGCCCCGCGTCGCCGCCGCTGCCGCCATGGGCCGGGAGTCCAGGTGAGGGCAGCTCAGGGGCCGCCGCCGCGGTTCGGCCGGGGCTCGCCGCTGCGTGGGGTGGCGGGGCGGTGCG